CATCCTCATCATCATCATCATTACAGCCCTTCACAAGTCCACTGCTGAACATAGGTCTCCCCCAAGTAATGCCACAAAGAACGGTCCTGAGCCACCTGCATCCATCGACTTCCTGCATATCTTACCAGGTTGTCACTCCATCTAGTGGGGGGTCGCCCTACACTACGCCTATTTATCATATATTGACCACAAATTAATAAAATAAACTGCAGTTACTACATAATATATAGTCCAGTTCACACCGAGACAAGACGCGACGCGGCGCGCACTTTTTAAGATAGTGATACAAAGTGTGACTTTATTTACTACACAAAAAAATGCATATTTTATTGAGATAATTCTAAAATAGCCCGCGGCGCACATTGGATCGAAAAATCGCGTTTTGAAGACACAATTTTAAGTGTCGTTTTTTTAAGTTTGAAATGGCTTTTCTTTGTTATTACTATGGTCAAAAATGTCACGCGAAGTAATTTGGCTTAAAAACTGATGACTCATGAATTGAAATCATTTTTTTACGAAAAAGATGAAATAAATGTATAGAGCAAATCAGTAAATCGGAAAATACTGCACTTTTTTTTTAAATCGATAAAGTATACGCGTCGCGCTCGCCTCGAGATGCCTCACGGCGTAGCGCGACGCTACGTGACGCAGCCAGTCGGAGCGAGGCCTGAAGGAAAAGGAGGCGCGCCGCGCAGTGCTAAACCACTGACCGCTTCAAGCATCGTCGCGTCGCATCTGTGTGGACTAATGTATAAGTATTATGTTATAATTATGTGCCGGTTAAACATTATTACGAAAGAACACACCCGGTTTCAATAAATCGCCTATGAACCCTGCTATTATGCACGCATATATACATTAATTATAAACGTCTTCCTCTTCAATAAAATAAACATGTCGTATGGTTGCTGTGTAGGGAAATGCATCGCCCCGAGAAGGCTATGGTAAATGCCAGAAAAATGTTCTGGTTTTTATGACTTTTCGTTTCGTTTCCCTCGGACGTAAAATAACCAGACTAATTACGCTATCGTCAATCCGCCGACCAAGCATCACGATAAATGGAAAATCTTCATTCAAACGGGAGAAGTCCGTATTCAGCATAAAACTTTACGAGCAGATAAAGAAGAGAATTAAAAAAAAATAGTTCGTAAGTTGTGAATCGTACCTTATTGCTCTAAGGTGATTCAGTTTTAGTAATCGTGAATGACGTCAGGGTTTGGCTATTGATGCTATATTTCTAACGGCGTAAAACAAGACTCGTTAGCTCAGTAGGTAAGAGCGCCGATATAAACTAAAGCTTGATCATCGGAGGGCGGGGGTTCAAATCCTTCACGAGTCATCCTTTTTTCATGTTTTTTCAATAGTCCTAAAAATATACTCAGATGCTTTAAACCAAAGAAACGATTATTGATCCAAAACTACGATTTAATTTCAGTCAAATTAATAAGTCAAAATAGTAATTTTCTTTTATACGTGGTAAAGCCACGCTGCAGTTAAATTAGTAGTATAGTTGTATCACGACTGGGTCGGCTCGACCGGGGAAGGACCACGCTCTCACAGAATACCAGCGTAAAATAGTAGCGTAATGCTGCTGTGTTTCGTACGGTGAGTGTAGAGAACCGGAGACCCTTTTTACTGAAAACGAGGCATTTCGTCTTAGTCCTCACGGGTGACAACGCATCTGCATTTTGATTCGTAATCGAGGGTAGAAGTAGATGTCTATGGGCCGCAGCAACCACCCCATGACTTGTGCTCTTCACCCGTCAGAAAAAAAAAAAAAACAGGGAAACACCCCCTCCCCAAAAAAAAAAAAACCCCCAAAAAAAAAAAAAAAAAAATTTTTTTTTTAAAAAATTTTTTTTTTAAAAAAAAAAAAAAAAAAAAAAAAAACAACCCCCAAATAAAAAAAAAAAAAAAAAAACCACTTACCATCAGGTGGATTGAAAGCTCGTTTGTCACACCCAATCTAAAAAAAATATAACAAGGCGTTCCATCGTAGTCTGCAGGGATGTCAACCCGTCTGCGTTTAGATTCTTCATTGCATCGAGGATAAATTTCTATTAACGTTAAATAAATTCTAGAAATTTCTAGAAAGGCAGCTTGGCTGAGCAGACAAGCGAAGAACGTGGTCGGCGGATGTCATCGGCAAGTCTTCTACTTGCTGCTGGTTGAAACGAGCCGTGAGGTCGTGGTGGAGAGAGAGAGAGAGAGAGAGAGAGAGAGAGAGAGAGGGAGAGTGTGTTAACCCGTGAGTGCAAAAGTAGGTATCTTTCGGCTACAGTGATCGATTATCATGGGGTGAAGTTTAACTCTGTAATGCACTCTTTACTACAGCAATAGGTATCTTTACTAGAAGCAATAGTGTAAGTTTGTAATGAAAAATATTAAAAAAAAATACTTAATTTCAATACTAAAATTATCCCCTGTATCGTGGTAGAATTTTGCATACTTAAATTGCATATGAACAAAGTTCTTTTGGACCATTATTTGTAAGCCATAGAAGCACTTGTTCAATGCGGGATTCGTTCTCGTGGCCCTGCAGCGCTGGAACCAAACGCTAAGCCAATGCGCTTCCGAGAAGATGTCAAAAAATTGTTTCTTTAATAGTAACATTTATCCTCATTCAAAATTTTCGTACAAAAATGATAAAAATCTGACTCGTGAAGGATTTGAACCTCCGCCCTCCGATGATCAAGCTTTAGTTTATATCGGCGCTCTTACCTACTGAGCTAACGAGTCTTGATACATGAAGCTTAAAATAAAGCAACAGTAGCCAAAAAGTGACATCACCCATCGGGTACTAAAATAAACCAGCGTATAGAGCGATTAAGGTACGACTCACTTACTTTTTATTATACTGGCAACATTTGAAAAAAGAAACGTTTATTATTTAAATTTTATTATGCTCTTTTAAGTTGAATACTTTAGATAAATAAGATGGAATGTTACCCCAAAGCCTGTAATACTGGCTGTCTATACCCTGTAGACAGGACAGGACAGGACAGGACAAAGCAGTGCAAACACTGCTGTATTGCGACAGAAATGCACGAGCACGAGGCACGAGTTTGGTGCCTGGACTCCAACTTGAAAATTGATTTATTAATTTAACAATAACCGTGCGTGGTTATTTCGTAACTAAGTCAGAAAAAATCTCGAGCTACTTGAATTCCACTGAGTCAAAATTTGAATTAAGTCCTTCCTTTATTATATGTTACATAAACATAATATAACGAAACATTGAAAAAAATCATATTATACCCATTAGATTCCAGGAGGTTTCTAACAAAAATAGAATTTTTACAACGTATTTTATATGATATATACAAATTCAGTTCAGGGTATGTAATAAGACAAATCTCATATCGCATAAAAATGTCGATATTATTATGGCGGCTGCGAGTTCACACGGATGATTTTATTTGGTGGGGGAACTTTCTTCGCGCCCCAAGCGAAACGAACTGAAGTATTGTCGTGGTCACCAATCGAGTAGCCACGATTTGGGGAGCGTCTCCCATTCCTTTATTGTTTATCGTCAGATGTGAATCTTACGTTAGTGGCTATTTAGATCATGGTCGGACCGCAGTAGTTTTAGGTTGGATTATTTACATGTAAGGTCGTGGTACGATTGCAATAGAAAAACGAAATTTTAATCTTGATTGCATTATAACGTAAACCAACTTATATAATATCAAAAGTACCCTGCTGAACGCTGAACTTAGGACTGTCGGTGGATTGTCTGGATGTTCTGGATATTTCTGGAGGATATTTGCCACACTTGGCAGGCGTGTTCGCAACCACAGTTTTTTTTTAGTTATAATTGAGAAGACGCTGCTGCCTATTTCCAGGTCTGTTTCCCTCTGTCGCCTCTTACGACACCCACGGGACGATATGGGTTAGTGGATATTCTTCTAACACTTGGCAGACAGGTTGGCAACCGCAGATTTTTTATTTTAAATTGTTTTCAGTAAGATGCAGGTGCCCATCAATTTCCGTTCTTTTAATTAAAAGTAAAATCTGACTTCAGAGAACTTTTTTGACACTTTTAAGTGCACCCTGCCACCTAAGGTAATAATAAAAATGCCATCTTTTTTTGATAGCATTGGGTGACAAACGAGCACACATTCCACCTGAGGGTGAGTGGATGCTGTGGTCCATAGACATCCACATTTATCCTCAATCAAAATGGGAAAAGCGTTGTCACCCCTGAGGACTAAGAAGGAATTCCTCGATTCCAGTAAAACGGGTCTCTTAATTTTTTTTTATTTGTTTATTTAACATTCTTAAAACAAAAGAATACAAAGTCGGACTTAATGTCTTCAGGCACTCTCTACTAGTCATAGAGAGTCAAACAATGATGTGGTGAGAATTTGACGTACGTGTATATAGAATAAAACAAAATAAAAATGATAAATAACTACCTAATATGTACATTTTACTAATATAAAAAACAAAGAAACTATACAAGTATATACGTATTAATATAGATTTAAATAGTATATATAGACAACCATGCATATATTATACGTCTCAACATTGATGATTCATATAAGAACGCACCAATTTTTAAAAGCATAGGTACATATTAGGAGCTTTTATGATGTCATCGGGTAAGGAGTTCCAAAGCTGTGTGGCCTGAACTGTAAAGAAGTTACCATAGATCTCGTGAAGTGAATAGGAATACATATTTTCAACCGACTTTAAAAAAGTTGGATGTTCCTAATTCGTCTGTACTTCTTTATTCGTTAGAACTTTTTATCACGTGAACTGATTTAGATTATTCTTTATAATATAATAAATGTTGCCAATATTCATTGCACTACACCGCGGGGAGAGAGAAAATTATAAAACAATTATACTTTTGCTACCTTAAATATTGTATGTTGTTAATGTTATGTAAAATGTAAATAATAAAATCTCATCTCAATATCAATTGTGGATATTTTTTGTTCCACCCTAGTGTATAATACCTTAAATATTTACCTACCGCCTTATTTACTCACCGGCAGTAACCTCGACTCTCCATAAGGCCAAGCAGGGTCAGCCACTAACACGCCATTGATTTCAGGTGAGCCAGTTACGAACCACACTCCGGGATCTTCCCCTGGATTCGCGGGTCTGATAAAGCGAGTTGTATAGTGGTTAAGAGCATAGAAGTCATAGGCACCTGAAAAGAAGAGACGTATTTTCTGATGATTTTTGACTTAACAGGAGATTTGAAAAGTATTTTTTTGACATTTTCAAGGATTTGCGCATTTTTGACGCTGTTTCTCGTCACCGGTTTGGAGATTATATATAATACATGCGGATCCGCCACGACTATGCATGGGTGAATTCTGGTACTAGAAAATAACGCCACCTAACGAGTCCAACTATTGTTAAGAACTCTTAAGGTGACCCAATAAGTACCTTAACAAATTTTCATTAAAATCGGTCAAACCGTTTATATTATACGAAAGTGAGTATAAAAACGTGGTAAAATGGTATGCACTCGAGTGGTTGGGTTGGGTGGTATACACCTGGGTATACACCCGAGTACACCCCACGGTATAAGTAATGTTAATGTTGTTTTTGTACCTTTTCTTTTGAAGTTGGCTAAAAACATTAAAACAGGTTTACAATCAGTGAATCAGTATTTCCTATCAGTATATAATTATACACAAAAAATGAATTCGATTAGAAAACCTCTTTTTTCCGTCCGTTAAAATAGGTAGTTATCTCACCTCTCATCATTTTAATTTCTTCCTTAGTGAAACTGGGTAGCGTGGACACGTTGAATCCTTGTTTACTGCTGTATTCTGCCATAACTTTTTCAATCGACGGTGGCCAACCACCTTTCTTGGAGAATATTGGATGGGAGTAACGACCAGTCTTGAAATAAAGAATAATGTTAATCGACGTAAGATATGTGCAAATGATAGCTTAAACTATAATAATTAAAAGTGAGATAGATGACAAAATAAGTGAGAGAGAGAGAGAGAAAGTCTGAAGATGTAAGGATGAGATATGCGTTTTAAAAAGACGGGGGGAAAATTAAAAGACGTGTGATTTTAATTAAAGAAACAGTAAAAGACGTATAAGAGTACAAATTTATTTTATTTCACCAATCATTCTACCATAGAAATTATGGTGATATAAAACAATATATTCAACTACAAAGCAGGTTGATGATGGTTGAGGCCCTAACAGAAAATACTTCCAAATAATATGCTGGACGTAAATTAACAGACTTGTGATAGGAAACAGTATTACCAGTGCAAGGTACTCGTATGGGGCCTGCTTACATCAACCCGTTCGACAAAAGTGTGGGTAAATTTACTAAGGCAGCAATAAGAATGGGCCAGTTCGACCTAGGAAAAACTATACTCGCACAGAATACCAAACGTAATAGAGCGCCATAATTATGCTGTGTTCGTAAGTGACAGAAACTGGAAATACCTTTTACTGTTAAAAGGAATATCTCAATGTAATGCCTCAGGGAATGTAAATTAATTAATTTATGGTAATGAGGCGTTCCATCATAGTCATGAGGCATATCTGTTAATCTAGATGACAACGCATTTTGATTCTTAATCGAGGATAGATGTAAGTGTCTAAGGGCCACAGCATCCGCTTACCATTAGGTGGACTGTGTGTTAGTTTGTCTATAAAAGTATAAAAGAATGCGACAACCTAGCCGGTACTCAGGCTATTTCCTAAGATTTAATGGTGTAGACGTGGTATTTAATACAAACAGAAACTTACAGAATGTTCTCTCGCAAGCTCGGCGAGTGCTTTATCAGAAGGTGTGAGCGGTTCTATCCACAACAGGTTGTTGGAAAGGGACACTCTACCTGCGTGAAAAAATCAATGAATAGTTATTAATAAGAACGAAAAAAAAAAAACCTAAAAAAGTTAATCTTGTATTGATTTTTTTCTTCGGTAATATAATTGTACTGTTGTACTTTTGTCAGTGTCATATTTAAAAACTTATCCTTTTAATTTTGTTTCAAAACTTCTTCAACATTTGTTAATGCGTCACATTGTGAAGTTTTTGAGGGATTTTGACGGCATCTTAACCAGCAAACAGTCGATGACAAAAGTACCTTAAGGCATCTAAGCAGACACATCACCTTGAAGTTTACATCACCATCAGATAACTTGTTTCATCATTTCCAATAATGGTTAACATATAGATACATCCTACACATAAAGTCGTAAGCAACTTTTTACGAAAATTAAAATTTTTTGCTCAAAATATTAAGGGGTAGCTGTTTTATATATTCCTGAAAACAAAATCTTAATACATTTATTAAATAATTAACTCGTTACTTAATGTAGGTCTGTTTTATTATAAAAGAAGTAATCCACAATATCAAACATTTTGATATAGTTAATAAAGAAGGATAAATTTACATTTGGCCACAGATAAATGTGAGATATGGCGCATGTGAAGTTTGTGGCTTAAAGTAAGTGACGGTGCTAAAGAATTTAGATTTTGGTCTGACAATTGTGTTGTACACGTAATACTATGAGCTATGAGATACGCTTATTTTCTTTTAGTATATTTTTATTATAGGTAATATAAAATTATTTTCTAACTATTTAATTACTTAAATTTTAAAACATATGATAAACATTAGTATTTATGTTTACAGTTGTTTGTTTTGTTATCTAAAAGTTTACTTTTGTTATTAAATGAAAGTCTTACAAAATTTTGCCTTTGGCTAAAATATCTACCTACTGTTTTTGATACAGATTATATTATTAAAGCTTAAAATATTTATCACAAATAAACCTATGATACTAAAATCCTACCCTACGACTATTAATAATTATTCTTTAAAACAAATCGAATTGTATTTTTGCGTTATTCATTCCAAATTGTTCTAAAATATATTGAGATTGATATATTTTTTCAAATAGTTAACTGATTCATTTCATAATTCATCATTTTGCTGTTACTTTTCTATCTTACAATACTTTAAAACGATGTTACAACGTCATTAAAATAATGAATAACAAATAGAAGCAACGCATAACGTGGTAATTTGTCGTAACTTAATAGCAAAACAATTTTCTACCACGCATAATGTCGTAACTTGAAGTTATGACATTTTAATCCCCACGCATAGAACTGTTGTAAGTATCTAAGCTTAGAATTTCTCTAAAACATCAATATTTCTCTTAATGTAGCATACCTTGTAAAAATACTTCTAATTACATTACAGATTTTAGGTGAAACAAAATTCACAATTAGAAGTTATATCAAATACAAACTTTAAATCACCGTACTGAAAACTTATTAGTTATCATATTGACATTACGACCTTATGCGACGGAAGGGTCCATATGAAGACATTTAATACACAAAATTTTACGTATCAAAATCTTCTTTAAACAATTATTTTTTTAAAGGAACAACAATCCACACTGATCAAGTCCCTTGGTAACCTTAAGTCTTACCGAGGTAAGGGGAGGTGTGAGATTAACCGTGGGACGTACGTAGGGTATTTAATTTTAACATTAAACTCATGAACTTACCTCGCTGCTTAGGTCTGAAGTATTTGTCATAAATTCTATAGGCTTTGGCATGGGCGATCAGTATATGCTTATTGCAGAGGAATGGAGCTACAGTCGGTTCTTTGATTCCGGGTGCTATGATACCGGAGTTGTAAGCGAAGTCGCACACCACGAGCGCCTCGTTGATCGTTATCCAGGTCTTGACACGGTCTCCGAATGTGGAGAATGCGTAGCGAGCGTACTCCGCGAACCAGTCTGACATTAATGGGTTTGTCCAGCCACCTAGATGAAGGATTTAAGTTGGGATAACTGACCCTAATAACCAAAACTTCTTGAAAAGTTTTATTTTGTGTTGCAAGTGTGCTGTCTTTTTGTCGGACTACTACCCGTGCGGTTAAAGAATGGGATTAAAAATGGCGTCGCATCTATTCACCTCTCGCACACCTGCCGGTAAGGACTGTAAAAAAGTCCGTTGCGATATGCGTTTTTCATACGTTTTGTAACTTCAGTCTAACTTTTCACTGAAATCATGATAACAAAATGCCATAAACAACAAAAACTTATTTGTGAGCTACAACGCGTTCTGAGAGTTATGTTAATTTTGTTCATAAAATATTGACATGCTGTTGAGATATAAATAACGATATTTAGAATTTTCGTTTGTCTGTCTGGCCGAGCTAATCTGCGCAATGATTGAACCGATTGATAAGATAAAATAAGTAATATTTAATGATTGTCTTAAGTCACATTAATAGATCTCACCTAGCGAAGTCAGAGTGGGTAACTAGTTATAAATATTATTTTATAAGTATGTACAACCTACTTGTGTCTACAATTATTTTTAAATATGTGTCTTTAATATAAAATTTCCAATTAACCGAATAATATAACATACGTATAGCTGCCGACACGAAACGTGAGCACAGATGAACTATGGTGTGGGTTGAGCCAGCGTAGGTACACTGTCGGCCAAAATATCAGGTACTTTTGTTATTTCAATTAATAATTGAATATTTTCGCTGACTTTTTTTCGAAATTCTGAGTCGTTAACTCCTTTAACTACTGTATGTACTGTTTCTCAGCAGTCTGTTTATAAACATCTATCATGTTTTTCGTGATACCTAATTATTTCATGTAACAAAACACTGAATAGGCCATTTTGTCTATTTAACACCGAATTCTTTCTTATCTGCATATTTAGACCAAAATCCGAATGCTCAATTTATAACAAAAAAAATTAACAACAAGAAATATCAAAAACAGTTAAAAACAAGAAATACACTAACAACAATTAACAACACGGTAACACTACAATTAACAAAAATAAACTAATTAAAAAGTTGTCACTAAAATTGCTCTCAAGTGTACGGTAGTCGAATAATACGTGCCAACCCAATAGACGACGAGAATCGGCTGACGAACCAATCACGTTGAGCGTCAGCGTGGTCAACGTCATATCGGCCAATAAAAAGTGTGCTCACAACTCGTGCCGACAATTATAAATACAATATTCTGGCATAATATTACTCTTTACCAATTCTAAAAAAAGTCTACGATATCATATGCCTATTTCTCATGCATACGCTAGAATGATCGCTATTATTAGACGTTACATATTAATCCTTACGAATGAAAGTTACTTCATCATTAAAAAAAATTTAGGAAGATAAACTTTGCCCTTAATATAATGTTATTTCGACGCGTAGTTTAAGAAATAATTAAAAATTAAAATAATTCAAAACTGGGCTCGGAGTGCGAGCAATGCCAATCCCTAGCCGACTGATGAGAACTGAGAGAAATCATCAGTGAACGCCTATATGTACGTAACAATACGAGTCGCCTTCTGAGCTTCTAACGGTGCTATATCAAACTAAAAATTATTTATTCTTTTCTAGTGTGTTTTTGTTTATTTTTACTACTCTAGTTTAATAAATCTGTCAGTATTGCCATAATCATATAAATACCAAACTGGAGACATCGTTTCTGATAATCAAGTTACAGTAATGTAAAATCATAAATCAGTAATACATTGATAAAAATATAATGCTTTTTAATGGAATGAAATGGAATATTATACACTTAAATCCACTTATGCAAACCAATACTCATCCGAAAGAAACAAAAGAATAACTCTAAATTTGAAGTGCTCTGCTGAAAGTCAACTTCTGCTACTGGGTAGGCAAAGATTAACCAATACTGATGCCAATCTCTCTGATGAAACTGAGGACTCTGGTGAAATCGCGGCTGTCAATCAACAATTTTAATGGATTATCTGAATCCAGGTTTAAGGCAGGAGCGACAAAGGTGTTGCTATGTTTAATTTATCGTTTTTATATATTTTCGATACTTGATATTTTATACCAATATGACGATGTATATAAATAAAATATATCGCCCAAAAATATCGATATGTCGGACAAAAATATTGCTATATCGATACATAAATTTTTTTCTACAAGCCTACGATGAGGCGCCATTTCTAATCCCACTCTTCACTTTACAATTGCACTAACGATCCACCTCGGCTTTGAACAGGTTTAACTATTATATTAATTGTGCGATTGGATCACCAGCTTTCTTGCAGATCGGGGCATCAAGGTCGTTGTAGACGGTGCAAGCTCCGATTGCAAGCCTATTAATGCTGGTGTTCCACAAGGCTGCGTGCTATCGCCAACGCTGTTTCTTCTGCATATCAATGATATGTTGCAAACCCGTAACATTCATTGCTATGCAGATGACAGCACTGGTGATGCTCTTTACACCGGCCGAGCCAATATTTCTCGGGAAAACGTCTCCGAGTGCCGGGACAAACTTGTGTCTGAAGTCGAGTCTTTGCTGAACAGAGTCTCGGATTGGGGGCGACTAAATCTAGTCCAGTTTAACCCCCAGAAGACACAATTTTGCGCGTTAACCGCTTAAAAGAACCCCTTTGTCGTATCTCCTCAGTTTCAAGGCACTCCCCTTGTGCCTCAGCCAGTATAGGAATCCTCGGCGTCGACATATCGAGTGACGTGCAGCTTCGTGGTCACTTGGAAGAGAAAGCCAAATTGGCCTCTAAAAAGCTTGGCGTGCTCAGCAGAGCGGGACAGTATTTCATGCCGGCACACCGCCTGCAACTTTACAAGGCGCAGGTTCGGCCGCACATGGAATACTGTTCCCATCTCTGGGCTGGGGCTCCCCAGTACCAGCTCCTTCCACTTGACCGCATCCAGCGCAGAGCAGCTCGAATTGTCGACGACCGAGTGCTTTCCGATCGGCTCGATTCACTGGCACTACGAAGAGATGTTGCATCTCTTTGCATTTTCTTTCGCATATACCATGGAGAGTGCTCTGAGGAATTGTTCGGATTAATCCCAGCCGCCAAATTTCGTGAACGCACTACGCGGCAAACGTCCCGATACCATCCACACCATATAGATGCTTGGCGGTCCACCACTGTACGTTTCAAGAGGAGTTTTCTTCCGCGTACAACTTCTCTGTGGAATAGTTTACCACCAGCGATTTTTCCGGACCAATACGACCTGGGGACCTTCAATAAAAGAGCGTACTCCTTTATAAAGGGCCGGCAACGCACCTGTAATTCCCCTGGTGTTGCGGTTGATCATGGGCGGCGGTAGTCACTTAACATCAGGTGAGCCGCATACTCGTTTGCCCCCTCTTCTATAAAAAAAAAAACGATCAAAAATATTTGCTCTAAGATCTAGATAGGTTATGGTGTAGGTTTATTGTGTGATTTTTTTTTACATTTACTCTTTCTAAATCTTATAGTAGTGTATCATATTCACCACGTTTAACATATTTTTTATTTTCATTTTACAACAATAGTGAGATTATGAGAGATTATGTAGAAATTTCAATTTAAGCATGCAAACGCACACACTCTTATACGCACGTACAAATATATATATCGAGCTATTATAACATGTGTTTTCAAAGATTTATTTGTGTGCGTGTGTGTATCTAAAGACACCTATATCGATGTAGAACACTACAACAAAAGTAATTTCGCTTACCCAGGTCCTGGAGTATCTGTGGCATATCCCAGTGGTAAAGGGTGACTACAGGTTCAATTCCCTTCTCCAATAGTGCGTCAATGAGATTGTTATAATACTTCTTCCCGTGCTCACTTATTTTATGTGTGAAGCCCTTCGGAAGAAGACGCGGCCATGAGATTGAGAACCTGAAAATTGATTATGTTTGTTTATTTGTTTCCACGAGAAACTAAATCTAACGTGGTGACATGCTATTCGAAGCTTTTGCGTTTTTGTTTTGTGATAAGCAGTTGCAAATACGTCCATTAGAAATGACAGTGCGGCTTTATGACGTAAGTAACATACAGATGATTCTTAGCATAAGAACAAATTGGGTTACCGCATAGAATACTATAATACACAATAGAATGGCTGTCAACTTTAATTTACACGAGGATTGGCGTCGCCAAACCCGATTCGCTGTGTTGACAGAGTAAATTTACTCATTTTAGACTTTAAATTAATGTTCAAGATCATCATTATATTTTAATACATATTTATTTGTAAATAGGGTACAATTTAGCATTTTCTAAATAATTTGTAAAGACGTTGTTTGAAACGATTGTAGCGTCAAAACACATCTCCTGTTGATATTTATACGTGTGAATTGACGTGTTAGTGACATTTTAGTGGCTACACGGGCTCCGCCCACTCCCCCGTTTGTATATATATATATATATATATATATATATATATATATATATAATATTATACTCTAATACATACAGTATTATAGTATTTTATGGGTTACCGTGATAGCCATAAATTTCAATACGCGAGCAGTCTCCTGGTAACTAACCACCGCCAACATTGACAATGTTCATTGTAATTTTAATTGGTGTTTCACGCTGATTGACACGTTGAAGAAACCTGTATGTCTATGAAAATCTAAGAGCGCTGTCCTACACCGTTCTAGGCGACCCATTCGTACTACAGTCTTAATATAGCTACGATATGGCTTTACCACGTATCTAGCTAAGGTACATCTGTCACAAACTTTCTTCTCGGAGACTTGATAATATTACGCTAATTTTGTTATTGTCATATGTAATAAGAAGCCTAAGCAGTAGTAACATCAATTTTAACGTACCGATAGAAGTTCAGCCCCAAGTCAGCCGCTATGTCCACGTCTTGTCTCCATTTGTTGAAGGAGTTGGCAGCGATGTCTCCGTTTCTTGCATCTTTGATTATGTTTGGGTTGGTGTGAACTAGCCTATCCCATATGCTTTCGCCTTTATCTGAAATGTACTTTATTTACATTTTTCGTAGAAGTAAGGTGCATAAGTAACCGACATAGCCCAATGGTAAGCTGAAGTGGCAATGGACCGGCCATATAGCTCGAAGAACCGACAACTGATAAGGAAAAAAGGTTCTCGAGCGGCAGCCTCGTCCCTTCGACCTGGTAAGACATGCAGGAAGTCGATGAATGCAGATGGCTCGGTGCCGAGCTTTGTGTCATTCCTCAGGGGAGACCTATGTTCAGTAGTGGACTTGTGACTATAATGATAATAATGATGATGAAGATATATAAAGTCTACCTGTAGTAGGTCATTGAAATAATATATAATTTGTAAGTACATTATACTTCAATGTAGTAAGTAAATGTTTTGGCCCATAGACACTGCATCTATGGCTCCACATTGTAAAAACTAATAACAAAAACCTGCTCTGCACTAACGTCCTTGCCAAACCTGGAAACTATGGCAAATGTTTCTCCTGGCAAATGTTGTCATGATTTTTGTATGCAGTAGAGTCTTAGCTATATTATAGTTGTAGCATAAGTAGGTCGGCTCTACTGAGGAAAGACCATGCTTGTAAAAGCATGGTCTTTTACAAGCATGGTCTTTCTGTAAAGAATATCGGTATATTAATAGGTGTTACTTTGTGGAATTATGCTCCCTGAGTTTAAGCAAACTGCAGGTGTGTTGTCAGTCTGAGGGTTATGATGGAATGCCTCGTTACCAGTAAAAAGTTTCCGGTTCTCTTCGCTCACCATACGAAACACAGCAGAATGATGCCGCTATTTGAAACTGGTATTCTGGTATATATCGCGAAGAGCCAAAAGCTGAAGGGAAGAAAGCCTTTCGAGTAACAGCCTCGTACCGATAAGCGAGGAGTATGACGGCCCTTCACTAGATGGAATGACGACCTGGTAAGAGATGGAGGAACTTGATGGATGCAGGTGGCTTGGGATGCTACTTTCTGGCATATGTTCAGCTGTAGGTCTGTGATGGGTTGTAATGATGATGAAACACGTTGCAACGAAATTCTACTACGTTATGGGTATAATTGTGTTGTTTCATTCTATTTTTACCCGAATACGTTAAAATATATTACATGTAAGTTGTACATAACAATTGCAGATGAGAACATTTTCTTGTTTCATTATTTTTAAAGCGAGATTTTTCAGTAGTCGATTTTCCGCCCTGGCTTCGGATGGGTGATTTCTGGATCTCGACAAAGGAACTTACCGAGTCCAATTTTTAATCTAACCATCCAGGTACCCACTCAAGCATACACAATTTTTTTATTAAAATCAGTCAAACTATATTCGAGTTTTAGCGACTCTAACGGACAACATTTTTATATATAGACGATTATTTAGTTATTAATTAATAAAATAAATAAAACATAAATAAAAAATGACTGCCTCCTTGGTCTAGTAGTTGTAGTAGTGCGACTGCAGATCATGAGGTCGATATTTAATATGATAAATGACCGTAATTTACCATATTATTTACAATACTTTCCAGTTTTACTTTTTTAGTCACTTATATCAATCTAAATAATTTGTTGAAATAGCAACGACTTTACCAATTTCAAGATAACTGATTGCACAGTTCTCATTTTTACGAACTACCCTGTCTGTTTGTTTGAAAATTAAATTTTCAAACATGCAGATTTCTCCACTATGTTTTTCTTAACCACCAAGCAAGTGATAAATCAGAACTTAAAATCACAATTAATAATATCATTGGTGCTGGCGGTATCGAGGCCCGATTGGTCACGTACTCTAAAATTTGCAGTACGGGCTTACTCCTGATTTAGCTATAAACCGAATGTGTGCTTGTTATATCATCCATATTTAAAAAAAAAACGACAGATCTCTTACCGCTGGCGTTCCATCCCCCTTCAACCTGATACGACGCTGTACTTGATCCGAACATGAAGCCCGTTGGAAATTTTCTAAAACTGTTACACCATACCGCACTTAGCAGAGCACTGTTTATAAAAAAATTATATTTAAAACTTAAAATAAAATAAATAAACGACTCTATAACTAAAAATAATAATTTACATTCATTTTTTAAGGGAAAGTAGATGCTGTAGCTCATAGACACGTACAACTACTGTCAATTATAAATAAAAATCATTTGCATTGTCTAACTACTCTTCTCTTGAGTAGTAAGTCGAAATCTGTCGTTACCATTAAACCAGTACCACCAGTTTAAACGGATCTACGAATCTCATCACTAACCATACAAAACACAGAAGCATTAAGCTGCTATTTCACGCTGGTATTCTGTGAGAGCGTGGTTCTTCCCCAATCGAGCTGCATGCAGCCTGGCTGTATCGAGTAGCAAGCTTCTGATGTTGGTGCTAAGACCTAGCCTAGTGTATTGAGAAATATATGTGGAGGTTATTAATTAGAAATTTATTCTCTTTCTAGTTTTAAAGACAGCTTTTACTTTTTTACCTTTTTAAGTGGACTAATAAACAACCGGAATAACGTATACATTGTCCTATACATACTATATTTTATGCCATAGAGCCATGTTGCAGTTATATTTCTAGTATAGTTGTAGTACGAATACCAGCGTAAAATAGTAGCTTAATGCTGCTGTGTTTCGTGTGGTGAGCTTAGAGTACCGGAGACCCTTTTTACTGGAAACGAGGCATTCCATCTTAGCCCTCACGGGTGGACAACGTATCTGCATTTCGATTCGTAGTCGAGGACAGATGTATATTTCTATGGGCCGCACAATCACTTATTATCAGGTGGACTGCGTGTTCGTTTGTCACCCTATGCTATATATTAAATAAAATACTACCAGGTCCAATTGTGAATCTAAACTTCGACGGAACCCACTTTCACAAACACGAAAATTTCACCAAACTCGGTCCGTCCGTTTAAGGTACTCTGATCCCTAGTTCACACGCTGCATGATTTTAGTGGTTAGTGAGCACGTGGTGACCAGTGACTGTTATAAAGGCAAGCATTTTTCATTTCAAGCTATTAATTAAGAAGTACATACATGTAGATATGGGTTAAGCAAAATCACCGCTTTCGAAAGGCATTTTCCAGGTAGCCACAATCTTTACGTCAACGTCGTAATTTAAATCACGTTAAAGTGAACTCATGTTTATAAAAATTTACTTTTAATTTTAAAGTTGATATTTTAAGGTCAAAACAGAGAAGATAAACGACTGTTAATGTCGGCCATGCAAAATTACAACGGCTCTAGACGGGCGTTCTCAAGGTAACCGCGATTTTATGTCAAGGTGGCAGTATATTATGCCAGATAATTGAATAAAAATAATTTAGGGACTTTATCGCGTTGTATTACGCTTGTTTAACTTAAATATATACAATGATCGACGTTTTGGATGCCTTGCAGCACACATAATCGTCTTCATCTTGTTCTTTTTGATGTGTTGTGGTAAAATTTGCCAATGACGCATATACATTTAAAATAAGAGTGTCTGATAATGATACGACGAGAAGACATTTTCTCCGAGAATTCTGGCAAATCTATCTACACATGACAAACACATGTGATAGAACCTTATACCAGTTACTCGATTCCAAAGAAGATTTTTACGTGTCGTCCGTATGAGTAAGTAGCACGAACGGGTTGGCTCGGCCGGGGAAGGACCACGCTCTCACGGAATACCAGCGTGAAATGGTAGCTTGATGCTGCTGTGTTTCGTATGGTGAGTGTAGAGAAGTGGAGACCCTTTTTACTGGAAATGAGGCATTCCATCTTAGTCCTCACGGGTGACAACGCATCTGTATTTTGATTCATAATCGAAGATAGATATAGATGTCTATGGGCCACAGCAACCATTTACCATCATTTGGGCTGTGTGCTCGTTTATCACTCTATCCTATAAAAAAAAAGAAAAAAAATTGTCAGTAATTCCTTCACGGGACAATGTATAATGCCCTTTTACAAAAAGTTCCAGAAAATATGCAGGACATATCTATCCACTAATTCAATTTTTTATTAAGAAAAAATTATACTACTAAAGAGTGCATGATTGAATTTGTTTCTAAATATGATAAACTTAATCAAGATTTCTAAGTATTTCTATTTAACTGGTAGAGCCACGCTGCAGCTATATTATGGTTGTATCGAGAAAGGGTCGACTCGACAGGGATAAGACCACGCTCTCACAGAATACCAGCGTAATGCTGCTGTGTTTCGTATGGAGAGTGTAGAGAATCGGTGACCCATTTTACTGGAATTGAGGTGTTCCATCTTAGTCCTTAAGGGTAACAACCAATCTGCATTTTGATTCTTCTCGATTCTCGAGGTTAAATGTAGATGTCTATGGGCTACAGGATCCACTTCGCTTATAATCAGGTGGACTTTGTGCTCGCTTGTCACCCTCATTCTATAAAAAAGGTATATCTTCGAATACAATCTTATAAAATATATTTTTTATTATGTGCGAGCAGCTATGCAGGTCTAGGTAAAGAGACCAGTATCACTGCGACCTAAAAGATCTATTGTGATCGCTGCTATGGCTATAGTTCACTGCTAAGCCCTATGTCTTCAACGAATTGAAGAAGTTGCTTAGCAGTGAGCAATTTCACTTCTTCTGAGCGGAGAAGATAGTGTCCCAGATGAGTGTTACGTTTGCGCATTAAGGGTCCGCAATCGGTTAGGATGTGTAGAGGCGTTTCTTCCGTTATGGAACAGAACCGACACATCCTTGAGTTGCTTAGTCCCAGGATGGACATGTGCTTTTTAAGACAACAGTGTCCAGTTAGGGCTCTTGCCAGAGTGCGCAATTTATTTTTACTTAATCCCAGGGCTTCTGAAGCGAATTTACGATCAAAAGCCCGGATTAAGGTTTTAGAATGTTTTAAGCCTGGTGTGTCAGACCAGATCTTAAGTGATTTATTGTGATAAAGAGTTTCGAGGGTCAATTGGGCTAGGCTTCTTGAGATTCCACAAAATGGCTCGGGTCCAAATTGTGTGCACTTTGAGCCCTCCCGTGCGAGTTTGTCGGCAAATTCGTTGCCTACAATGCCCTCGTGACCCGGAACCCATCTTAAAACGACCCTGTTGTTACAACCCAGAGCGTTTAAACGGTTCACGCAGTCTCCAACTAGCTTTGAGTTCACTAAGTTTGATCTCAGCGCTAGCAGTGCTGCTTGACTATCAGAGTTTATGTAAATTTTATGGTTGACGGTTGGTGTTTTTGCAGATTCATTTCCGCACACCAAAGTATGGCGAAAATTTCTGCCTGGAAGATAGAGGTGTATCTACCCAAATTCGTACTAAATTTGAATTTGGGGCGTTCCCCGTAAATTCCAAAGCCTACGTCGAGGCCCATTTTAGACCCATCGGTATACCATATGAGGCTACCGACCTCACAGATAACCTGGCCATTCAGCCAGTCTTCTCTGGAGGGTAATTCCACTATATACTTTTTATCAAAAGTGATAGTGGACGCATGATATCTGAGATCATGCATAAGACCGGTGATTCCTTAATTGAGTCGAGCATGGATCTCAATCTATAGGAGAGCAAGCTCAGACCGCCCTGGGCGTTAATCCTATACAAACTAGCCCTCGCCTCCTTGTCTAGATAGAGATCTAGGGGCGTTAGGCATAGAAGTGCATTAAGAGCCGCTCCAGGCGATGATCGCATAGCTCCAGTTGCCATTAGGCAGGCAGTCCTTTGTACAGTATTTAGTCTGTCCGCAGACGTCTTTTGGTTGGCCTTGTTACACCAGACAATAGAGGCGTAGGTGAGAATCGGCCTCACTATGTTGCTGTACAGCCATAGACCATACTGGGACGCAAGCCCCAGTTGTTCCCGACCAAACGACTGCACGTACCTAAAGCAATTTTTGCCTTATGGCATACGTTGCTAAGGTGAGAGTTCCACGTTAGTTTTTTGGTCGATTGTTACGCCCAAGTACTTAACTTCCGTGAAAAATGGTACTTCTTTGCCATTAAGTTTTGGTTGGACTAACCAACCGTCTCTTTGGTAAAGGGTATTATAACAGTTTTATCAGCATTAACTGATAAACTGTTATCCCTACACCAGTTATTTATGGTGTTTAGGGCTCTTTGTATTATTGACGATAAAGTACTTTGGCAAAAGCCCCTTGCAATGATCATAAGGTCATCAGCATAACCCAATGTGTCAATGCGTTGGTCTGCCATTTTGTACAATAGTTGGTCAACCGCAAGAGTCCAAAGAAGGGGTGACAAAAAAACACCTCCTTGTGGGCAGCCTCTTGTGGTTGCCACCTCAATCGAGGTTTGAAACAGCGCTATTTTTGCCTTTCTGTTTGAGAGCATCGACTTCACCCATCTGATGGTTGTGGGGTCAACATTTTTAGATGTTAGGCCCCCAATCAGCAGTGATGTGGGGCTACTGTCGAAATCGCCCTCAATATCTAGAAAGGCACAAAGAGCTATTTCTTTATCCTCCAGTGCTTTTTCGACCCTGTCAATGACACTGATCAGGGCTGTTTCCGTAGACTTGCCTCTGCGGTAAGCATGCTGGTTGTAATGTATGGGCCTCGTAGCTAGAGCTACATCCCTTATATATCTATCTATAACCTTTTCCAATGTCTTAAGAAGAAAGGAAGATATGCTTATAGGTCTAAAGGACTTTGGTAAAGCGAAGTCCTTTCTACCAACCTTAGGTATAAATAGAACCTTGACCATCGTTGTGGAATATATCCCAATGCAAAACTTGCTCTGAAGATTTTCCTCAGATAGGGAAGAAGGATGTCGATACCCCTCTGTAGTTGGATGGGAATTATTCCATCCTCCCCGCTTGATTTGAATGGTTCAAAGGAGTCAACAGCCCACTGCACCAGGTTTGGCCTTATTATCTTTTATAAAATATAGCATTGAAAATTAATGTTTAAAAAGCCTTTGCATTTCTTGCAGGTTTTTCCCGAGACAGAGGGTTTTTCTAAAATAATTGTAAAGCATAAATAACTGTATTCTTGTAATTTACATTGAATAA